ACAGGTGGCTGGCTCGGCGACAACCAACACCTAAACGTACCGGCACACTCCCTGGTCCACAACATACACTAACCAGAATTTTGCACAGCACGAGGGGGGCGGGGTTGATCCCAATTAGCACGGCGTGCTTCTGTAATTAGGCCTGCGGACACACAATGTTGACGTTTGTTATGAGTGAGCATCACCGATAGGGTCTGCCGGAATCCGACCTAGCCTGTGTGTTGTTCCAGCGCGTCTGCCGCGTGGCCCGTTTAAGGGACACACAACAGTTCGAACGTCCATCAAGTGATCTACAACAAGGTGGGGGAAGGGACAGTGACTTGGGCGTGAGTTAAAAGTGATAGCGGACTTGCGCAACATCTGCCGCACTCCCCCTCCTCTCCCGACTGTGCCCGTTGTCAGGACAAAGTCAAAAAGACCGTAGGAAATAGGAGGCGTAGGCAGCTGGCGCGGCCGGGGCCGCCCCTAGGCGTGCTGCCACACCCGCTTCGGATACCACTAGGTGGGAGTACCATAGAGGCCGCAATAAGAAGGAGCCATTGAAGCTCGAATCTCAGTTCGCCAGTCGGCCACCCCACACAAACATATACACCAGGCTGACCGCGAGGCCCAAGTTATCCCGTCATTTGGCAACCTTTCAAGCCATGGCTTTTAAGGCACCATGATAGCTTTAAGCGCGTCAGATTGTTTATAGTGAGGAAAATGCGCTGAAACGTCGACCTCACTCTTAACTCCCATTCACATGCCCCGGCCACTGTCCGAGCCGGTCATTTTTCTGGTGTGGGAAATGGGCGCAGTGGCTGACAAGTTGGGGAGCTTGTCTGCGCACGCCACACTCACAACCTGGCCCCCAAACACACACGCGCACACACACCAGGATTTCACACACACTGGGGATAGGACGTTCGGATTTCACATGCAGCAGGAGAATCAAACGGAGAGCGGACCCGAAAAGCACACTTCCCACTTACGTGATAGGTGCCGGTGATGTGGGCTTTTTTGGGTGGGGGGTTGTGCGTGAGGAATGTGTTGGTGGGAGGATGTGTGGTAAAGTGGTCATGCCTGCGGCGATCTACCGCGAGTTTTCGTTAATGCGCATGTGACCCACTGTGCCCGCACTGTAGCTGAATGTGCGAGGGCAATGCGGGCAGTTGGGGCGAGTACGGCGGGCGTCCGTTAATGCCCCCGTCACTGGTCCTCCAGTCCCTGTACGATGGACTCGCAAGCCATCGACCAGGCCGATGAGCGAGATGAATGGGCTGTAATAGTGAAAGAAAGGCAGGTGGAGGGCAAACAGTTTGATCCAAGGTGATGGAAGCCATCATGGGGCTCGAAAATTCTATATTGCCGGTTTCTCTGGTGGGGACCTGCTTGTCTGAATCTCTCATCTGTATGAGGTGACAAACTGCATATCTTTGAAGGGACTCGCTAGCACTGTGCTGTCGTTGGTGCAGGCAAGCTCCCTGATACACTGTCGCAATTAGGCGGTAAACGTTGTCAGGTAGTTAGTGTTTTTTTAAAGACACTACTGGAGGGCAATTTCCATCAGGTGGTTCCCTGCTCTTCGCTTCCCTTATTGCGCTGATCGTTTAAACAGCCCACTACATACCACAGGTGCAGTTTGACGTGGGTGCAGGTAGGTCGTCATAGATCACCATTGTTGAGGAGCTACTAGTGCTGAATGCCGTCCGAAAATGTACTTTTTGTACTGAGAACATGCACACACATGGTCCATCCGTAGGAATTGACAAATGCTCTCACTGGAAGAGTTACCGAGAAACGAAGGACTCGATGGAGGAGGAGTTGGGAGCCTACAGGGACATGCCAGGGACGGACTATGTAAAGACAGCTGGTGTAGGAG